CCCCCCTAATGTTGATTTGCATTTCTCAAACCTCTGTTAAAATTATGGTATTATCACACTTATTTTTGTACGAATTTCCACTTCAGTATAATAATGTACCAGTTTCATAAGGATTAAAAAAACCGAAATCGAGTTTCTTTTGATGTCTCGTTTTTCAACGGCTTCCAAAGTCGTGAAATGCTTTCAAAAACGAAAACTGTTCAACCAACAGTTTTTTGTAATAACCAATAGATATAGCGATTTTCAATAACGAAAATTAATCCATGTTTTTTATAGAGGTAAATTAATGTAGATTAGAAGTGCATTCAGCCATAACATACAAAGGAATTACGCAATTGTGTGGTAGACTACTAGTCATGAATATACGGAAGTGTGCCAAGATGCTTAAAAAACATCACATCAAAACTGAAAAAGAGAGACTTTACAGGGTAATATACACCAATCTGAGGCCAGATAATTTGTTGATTTTATGATGGAAAAGTGCTGAAATGCAACCTCCGGCCATCTACATATTCAAAAAATTCAGGGGGAGACCCCCGTACCCCCATTACGAGAAGGGGGCATCATGCCCCCTCTCGTGCTCTCCCCCGGCTCCGACCTATCCCGCACCGCATGCGGCGGTCCACCTGCCTCGCTCGGCGAACACTTTTACCGGGAGCGCGCCCTCCCGTTCAAAAAATCCTGTATCCGCCCCTGGCTATATAACACTAAAATGTATTAAGTTCTCATTGTCCGGTAGATATCTGAAAAGTTAAGTAATAAAAACAGTCACATGCCACGATATCTGTATTTAATAGCATACGATATAACTTTGCTATATATCTTCTAAAACATTTTGATACCTGACATTCTATTATTGTGATGTAGGTATAATATTATGAATCTATTGCTGATCAAATATAAAAATAAATTCTTAGGTTGATTTTTAATTTGCGTTTTGATTCAACTTGACAACAATTCATCTGAAAGTACAGATTGTTAAAAGGGTAATAACATAAGTTAATTGAGTATCTTTATAACAATTAATTATGTAATATTTGCTTTCGTTATTGCCAAACACCATATCAATAATCGTTGTATATCTAATAATATAACTATGTACGGGATCGTTATGGGCGGGGAGGGCGTAGCTTATCCTCAGAGAACCGGCTATTCAAAAACCGTTTCCTTTTCGGGGTTTAGATCGACTTTCGGTAAAGAAATGCCACCCCCAATGATTGTATATATAATCAAGTTTCTGTAATATATCTTGCGGTTAAAATATTGAATTCATAATGTCATGTGAGATTTTGAATAATACATTCAGCGGTGCTAACTTTATCATGAAGTAACACTCTGTGCTGCGTTACAATATAGTCGTAAGAATAGCTCTTCTGGGCTAAAGTTGCATTGCTACAAACACGACTCTAAATAAGAATTCTTGTAAAAAAATCTTGTATTCATTGTCATGTAAAAGAGTGGCATACAAAAATGTTGAAGTTCCAAATTCTGTGGGGCAGAGAGACTAATGCTCCACTATTTGCTCTTGTGTCAAATGAACTACACTGCATGTATTACTATCTGCATCAAATACTAATTTATTTTCATCAGCAAGAAGTTTTAATTGGTACTGTAACTTCCCTGTTGTTTCCACCAATACCACAGATCTGTATTGAACAGCAATGTCCGGGTGATGGGTGGTTGCATGCTCTAAAACTTCCATAACCCCTGGATGTCGAGGATGTGATTACAACGGAAACTACTTAGTTTAGCCATGTATCCCCTGAACATGAATACATAGTAAATAGGTCACTCAGATTCCGGATTATATGTTTTCCATCGATTATAGCTCGATCGGCTCATCCTCGATATCCAGGGGTTAAGCTCACTTTCGCTCTTTGCACCCAAGGAATATGTCATAGCAAAATTGAAGGCACGAAGATAGCTGTTTGATTGGCTTCAGGTAAAAAAAACCACTGACCAGTCGCTAGGCTGATACCTGTCTTTTGAAGATTACAAAGGAGAGACGCCGACTTCAAAGCCTGTCAACTTTTACCGGTACTGTCACAATGATATCAACCCCATCGACTATTGTCAACCTCCTGTCACAATGATATTAACCCAACCGACTATTGTAACCCTTCTGTTACAATGATATCAACCCCACTGACTATTGTAACCCTTCTGTCACAATGATATAAACCCCACTGACTATTGTAACCCTTCTGTCACAATGATATAAACCCCACTGACTATTGTCACCCTTCTGTCACAATGATATAAACCCCACTGACTATTGT